TCCCTCCTAAAGTCCTTAGATAGAAACATTTTCGGATGGCTGTTGCTCTAGACTCTAGACGTTTTGTACTGGACTGAGGTTGAGGCTTAGGGTTTAGGGTCTAGGGTTTTGCGCACTAGTTATTGATTTTCAAAAAAACATGCGCAGGAACCCTAAAAAGCTGCTGTGAAGAATAGGGTCCTCCGAAATGAATGGCTGCATGGTGTTCCGTGTAATGATTTTTGGGAACGTCGTGATTTAAGTTGCGAGTTTATCTTTCCTTTATTTCACGCTAAACCCTGAAGCCCTAAATCCTAAACGCTTGCGCTTTGGGAAGGATCTCTCCAGGGATTTCTGCGCTGGGTATCTGTGACAAAACTCTATGCCCATTTGAGAATCGCCTACCAGCCAGCTGACCGACTCATTGCTTGTGCATTGCTCCTAGCAGCCCCTACAGTGCCAGGAACTACAGTATTTTTGGGATCTTAAGTGGCGCAGGACTTCCTCCAACTATCCTATGACAGGCTCCACGACTCCATTCTTCAACGCAAGTCGCTGTTATTGTCTTCGACAGCTTTTTCAGCTCTGAATCAGCGTGTGCTTGAAGGTCATGATCTGCCCAATGGAAGTGCAGAAGACCTTTGTTTTAACCACGACTCCGACTTTTCCTGCTGCTCTTGTCCCTACTCCCTGCATGACTGCAGCAGCATTTATTTCTGCTACCCCAAAACCTTAACTCCTAAATTCTAAACCCTACTATGCCCCTGACCGCAACAGGTCGCTTGGCATCACTACTACCCCTACCACTACCACTACCACCACCATCACCACGACTACCACCACTACTACAAGACCTACTACCAAGCCTGCTGCTGCGCAAAGCTCCAGAGTAGTAGTGGTGGCATTGGTATTTGTAGTTGTCATAGTGCGTACTAGAAGTAGACACAGTCCAGATAGCAGCAAAAACCTATCCTAAGTAGCCTTCATCAGTCTGGGCATATGCCGAGCCCTTCCGGCCCCTGGAACACAGCAGGCCGGCAATTGCGGTGTAAAACCTTCGAATGAGGGATTAGGGCTTAGGGTAGATGTATACCTGAACCCAATATGGATTAAGGCTTCAGGGTTGAAGTATATAGATCGGAGGCTTAGGGTGTATGTATAGGTGAATCCAATATAGATGAAGAATGCTCATGCTGTATCGTGTTTGTATGGTATCTCAATAGTTCTCAAGTGAAGGATTACAGAGGGATATTGGTATTCAGAGCCGGAAATGTCGTCGAGGGTCTTATGGGGCTTGGGCACAGTGGGAATCCTTTAAAAGGGGGGAGGGAGAACAATAAACAAGAGCGAGCAAGGTGGTATTCCGGTCTGATCAGCGCGGATTGTCGTCTTAAGTGGTTTGGCAAGCAAGACTTCGAGGCTCAAACGAGCCCTTGTCAAACAAACGAAAGTCGTCAACCTGGTCAGCCTGTCCCGAAAGTGCCGTGCCAATCAGTAAAGACTATAAGTGCCTCCATGTTTTTCCAATTTTGGGTTCCTAATAACAAAAAAATTATAAATATTTTGAGGGCGCTTTCAGGCCGGTTTAGAAATACGTCATGTAATGGTCCCAGCTGAAAGGTTGCTCCAGAGATGGGAAAGCCATACCGAACAGAGGAGTTATAGTCTAAACTCCTTCAAGGGGGTTATATAGGGGATTATATAGAGGAGTATTATTGGAATTATAAAGGGGGATAAGAGGAGTTTGACTAAAGCTCAAATGGTTATAGCCTTTCCGTCAGGTGCCCTCCAACACTTCATGAACATTCATGAACCTGCAGGACCCTCTGTCGCAGAACACGGCTCCTACCAAAGCTCTACCGCAACCGAAACCCTAAACCATAATCCATGTGAAGTATGGCGGCTTTAGAAAGCATAGTCCCACTGCTCAGTCTGAATTACAGTGCTGCGTCTACATGTCTTAGGGTTCAGGGTTTTGATTTACGCAACTTGTCCACATAACGGCGCAAGATAGCCCCCATGTTCTCCGCATATTCGTCCTCGTTGAATGCACCCAGCCTTGCTCCTGTCCTTGTTCTCCATGTATCTAAACAAATCATATTCCTGATGGAGAAAATCTTGCATTACCATAGAATACGTAACAAATACCGTATTTGGGTGCCATAGGTGATGCAAGTCTTTCGCCACCCGCGATAGCTACCTTCGACGACCTCGGGGGAATGGTTGTGTATTTGAACAGGTGTCCCAGCCCAAAACGACACTATTTCAGACTCTGAAGCCCGTATATCTTGCCAGGAGGATAGGCGGCTGAAAAAGGTTGCGGCATGCCCCGCATCTATGCTTACTGAACCAGGGGCCCTGAAAGAAGTAGTTTGCAAATTGCTGCGCACACAAGAGTTTGCTTCAGGCGCATATAAGACAACTTAGTCACCTCGCATGTCCTAATACCTACGTCCACCAGCTGATGGTTTTTCCAATGCATTAGCCCGGAATCGCCGACCCTGATCTCCAGATACGCTGATGAAATACATCTTGAATCTTGAGCAGCAAGCCCTAAGCTCTGAATCCTGAAGCCTAAACTCTAAACCCAGAACCCAATCCTAGCCTCAAAGATCAAAACTCGCGTCCGAGCCCTTAGACCTCAAACGCTGAAGCCAACACTTTCAACTTGAAGGTTGGCAGTGGAGCGCTGCGTCTTATGCTCCTTTTCAGCACGAAAGTTCTTCCCTAAACGCTGCCGCTCAACCCTTGTTCACCATTTCGAAGGGCTTCCTGCTACGACGGTTCGAATGATGCTGCTGCTGGTTTAGGGTTGCAGCTTCTGCCTCCGCTCCCGCCGCTGCTGTGGCTATTGTCTTGGTTGTAGTGCTTCTGCTTTCTTGGGGGTTTAGGGCTTAGGGATACACCGACCAAGTACTATTTGCACAAACAATATGGTAGTTTTCCCAAATACGGACCCCAATGTAGACTTCCACATATTTAAAGCTTCATATCTGCGAGCATAAGATACCTCCAGGTGCTCTTAAGGTTGGGTTCTAGTTGTCAGGGATTACAAGACTATGCCCCCACAAGAATACCTCCCCAGATGTAGAAGCCTATTTTAAGCCTTCACAAGTTCTTAGCAGCTCCTTGAGCCGGTTTAGGGTTTAGGGCTTAGGAGGTACCTTTGGCGGGCATGGTAGTATTAAGATAATGGAGCCCTTAAGGTCCCTTAATGTAGACCCATGATTAATACACCTCCGGAACTGAATGTTAGGATCCCTATTTCAATTCCTATCGAGGGGAGGGGGTTTATTAATCAGGGCTCCACATTTTTTTGCACAGTCGGAAGAGGTTGAAGAGTACCTCAGCCACCGTGACTGCCATGGCCACAGCCACTACCACTGCTACCAGTACTAGTACAACACTGTCCAATTTAGGGTTTAGGGGTAGGGTTTGGGGTTTAGGTTATCCTGCTTGTAGATTCCTTTTATGGATCTCAACACTACATTGGTAGGTCTGTAGGCCGCGTCTACCACAACGCATCATTTCAACTATGTAGGCTCCCCTACACAAAACCCTAAACCCCAATTTTCAGGGGTTCATGCCTTGGAGAAAAGTTCTGACAATACAACAGTTCAAAACCTTATGCCCGCCCATGCTCCGGCTTGTTGAGGCGTCAGGTTCCTGGTGGTGGCATTCTCCCAGCGCCTGGCCGGGGGGTGCCTGGAATGCCAGACTCTTGTCAGCCCAATGGGGCTCTCTCAACACAGGGTTTAAGGTTTCGGGTTTAGGGTTCGGGGTTTCATGGGTTCCCCTACTACCCCCCTCTGTACTACCCCCCCCAGGTTCCCCCTTTATTAAGGTTATCTAGGGATAACTAAGCTTGATTAAGGTTAACTGAGGGGGAACCTATGCGGGGGTAGTTTTGAGGTAGGTTTTGAGGGGGGAGTAGGGGAACCCATGAGGTTTAGGGTTTTGGGACAAGGGTTTAGGGAGGTTCATCAACAGCTGTAGCACCAAACTTCCTAGGGTTTAGGTACACAGGGTCATGCAACGTTTTGTCCATCAAAAGTACGGGTCCCCTTTATACAGTATTCGGCTTCGTATAACACAAGACGGATTGTAGCGACTGTTCCACGTGGTTGTTATATGGAAATTTCTATACACGGCTTAAGTTAGGTTTCCATACACGGCTTAAGTTTAGGTTCTGACATTCATATAAACAGGTCAGATTATGATGAAGACGCATGTCGAGAAGCAGTCATATCACTGCGCAAAGCCGAGACTTTGGACTTTTACCGGGGACGTCCTTGCTGTCCTTCTTGAACCCTAGCTACATATCAGAATCCCATGTAAAGGACAATGCGAGACTTATTCTCATCCGTGGCCAACCAAAATCCTAATCCTAAACCCTAAAACCTACATGAGCTACTGTCAATATCAGCCATCTTAAGGGGCCCTTCACAATGGACATAGGGGTCCCTCCTGTAGTCTAGTACGGTCCCTGATATAGTCCCTAATCTGGGACCCATGCCCACTAAATTACATAGGGAATATTGGTTGTAGTTCACATGATGGCTGACGGAAATTCGGAGTGATCCGCTCTTCGAAGCATCGGCTCTTTTGTGGTTCGTGCACCTCATTGCGATCAGTTGCCGGGGTTCCATGCAGCTACAGCTTGTTGAAAGCTAGCAATGAACGCTTGCATGCCTTCGTGGAATGCCTCAAGCTGTAGACATTTGGAGTTGCCGGCAATGGTGAAGGGTTTCAAGATTTATGTGGAGCTTGGCAGGGCGTGATTCTTCTAGACAGTAAAGTGAGGGGATGCGGTAGGGCCAGGGCTTGCTAGGTTAGAGGTTGTGAGTAGTGATACGGGTGATCTTGCCACAGGGGTAAGGGTTTCCAGCGCCTTCGTCGGTGGCACCCTCCATAATATGTGACTCTCCCAGTTTTTGGGTACCAGAAGGAAAGTTGTGGACTCTCCCTCAGAATTGGACCCTTTCTGGTGCGGGGGTGGTTTTGGAGCTCTCTCTCGGACCATTTCTGAGCTGGTGTTGGGGGTCTCCTGGCTGATTCTGGGGCTGTCTAATGTGTTAACCAGGCTGGTTGTGAAGGTCTCCCGGACCATTTCTGGGGCTGGTTTTGGGGCTCTCCGAGCGAGCTGGTTTTGGAACTGTCCCAGGGCTCCAGGGCTCCAGGGCCTACCACGGGCCCCCCTGACCTAAAAGTCCTTGTTGGGAATTCGCTGCGGCAGGGGCGCCCCGAAGGGCCCCCCAGGTGGTGTGATTCTTGTATGTTTGCTTGCCAGTACTCGCGTATGTCTGCGCAAAGGTTTGTGCTGTACTTGTGGCATCTTGGGGCATTCTCAGAACATGAGAATGTATGCGCAGACCCCCCCCCCTCCGCACATGCACGCGCACACGTGCACGCGCGTGCACGCATGTTTATGCATGACATGTTTCATTTGCGGGCAAGTATGCGAGTAGGTGAGACCCGGAAACGTCATGGGCCAAAAAGGCTACATAGAGGAAGAACATGCAAAATCATATGCCGGACATGCAAAACGCTGGACTTGCAAAGCCAGCCTTTAGGAACCATGAGAAGTTGACGCATGCCTTGTAGGGACGGGTGACTATAATTCTGCGTAGGGTTTCATCAGACATTGTGAGGTCGGACAATTTGCGTCTTGTGTCCGAGCTATCACAGCTCTGCCACTGGGTCTGTCGCAAGTCTCCGCAGCTGGGCTGCAGTTGCGCATGCAATAGATTATTGGGACCAGCGAGTTGCTTCCTCCAGGATTTGCCTGAGGCGTTGATAGAATCAGCTCTTGGCGACGGACTGGAAGGTTTGGAGCTCGATGCCATCACTACGGCTTCAGATATCTGAGCTGACTTGTAGGGCCCGTTCTAGGGTTCACAAGGCGCGGTGCAGCTTTGAAGATTCCGTTGAGCATTGTCCCCATTTTTGGGCTTTGTTGAGCAGTGTGGAGCTGATGTATGCAAGTGTCAACAGCTTTGACTTTGACCACTTGAGGGCCAGCTTCCATTTCATGTTCTCGACGTGCTGAGCAGTGTGCTGTAGACCTCGACTCCTTGACAATGCGCAAGAGTCCAGGTGCAAAAGCATGTACAGTTATTTTCGCAAGATAGCTTGGGTCAAGCTTGGCCGGGAACTTTGCTACTGCCAGACTTGCAAGCACACAGTGCTACACTCTAGTCTCACACGTTGTGCTTGCTACCTAGAGAGGTCGCAAAAAGTAGTAACCTAGCACGTGCGCAATGCATGCGACAAATTCTAGCATCCATTAGCAAGTCTTGAGTGACGTCGTGTGTAGAAGCAGTACGGAGATCAACCTGGGGTCTTCAAAGTTGAGCTTTGAACGGCAGGACTACCGCCGAAGCTCCTAGTGTCAAGCAAGCCATGAAAGAAGGGCACGACAATCATGAGGAGCGTGCTCGCTGCGAGCTGCTTGCAAGTCTGGCTCGCTTTCTGCGTGATTGGCTGCGTGCCGAGCTCAGCTGGCTGTCGGTTGTCCGTTTGCCTTTGTCATGCGATTCACCTATAGTACCCATAGAGCTCTTGTGCTGCTTGATTCCCTGCCCTCCGGGTCCTTGGCGAGAATCGATTGCCTCTGCACGGGAAGGTACAGTTTTTTTTATGGCTCCCGAAAGCCCATACCTAGACCCCTATTATACCATACGGATACTTAACTTCATGTCTAGCATCTTCTATCTACAAAATTAGCTAAGTACCCAACACAGAGCAAATTCAAAAACATTCCTAAAGCATTCAAAACAAGAGGGGGGGGCCGCTAGCTAACACATTCAAAAACATTTCCAAAGCACTCAAAACAAGAGAGGGTAGGGTATGGAAGTCCAGGTAATATACCCCAACCCAGATGCCTCGAAAAATTACCCCAAAACCTAAAACCTAAGCCCCAAGCCCTGAACGCCAGGATTAAACCCTGTAAACCCTATAAACTATACACCCTAAACCCGGGCTCCTTACTCCTTAGGAGACTGGTGGGAGTTGGGTCGGCTCGATGGCGAGACTCGTAAGGCCGGTCTCATCTTTCCAAGTGGGTAACCTTAGACTACGGATTAGGGTTTGTTTAGGGTTCAGGGTTTAGGGCGTTATGCGGATAATGTAGGAAGAGAGGAGAATTTTGAAAACTACTATGTAGGGTTCAGGGTCAAGGGAACATTGTTGGAATATCTTTCGGGTATACTACAGGGATCCAGTGCTTTTCTCCCTAGGAAAAGCAAATAGAGGGGACCCACGTAAACCTCATATGACCCCCCTAACCCCATCTTAGCTTTACAGCTACCTACCTGGAAGTGCACCGAATCTTGCATAGTCGTAGGGGTTTAGGGTTCAGGGTCTGGATATGAGGATTTCTAAGCATAAGCTTCACGGGGACTAGAGGTTTATAGGTATGTGCACTTGCTGAGAAGCCGCCGTGGGCAATTCGATTTTGCTTTTGGGCCCACTCATACTAGGGAGGCCACCTGGCTCGTTCAGCAGAGTAGTGTTTCATTAGGGGAGTCCCTGCCTGTCCCAATACAGTAATTAAGATTATGTACTCCTTTTGGTTCTGGTATCTTACAAGAGCAATCCAGTGTTACTAGTTCAGCCACCAAAAAAAGGCTGCTCAGCAGAAGCTGGCGCAAGAGGCATCGAGAGTGTTGATGAAGCGTGGCGTCATGAACCGCAACTGATCACTATCACAATGATGGTAGAGGTTGTTGTTGGCAAAGGTTCTGATCAACAGCCATGCCTCAAATCAGATTTGGACTGATACTCCAGGCATGCGCAACCCGATTGGTTTTCGGATTTTTTTCGGATTATAACGCTTAGAATAAGAGAGGTCCAACATGGATATTAATGAAGGTCCGAATCGCTCATGCAATGATGGTACCATCAACAGCAAAAGTGCAACCATTAAGGTGTAGAACACGACTTCTTCTGCCCTCAAGAACAAAATGACAGAATGATCCCTGTTGCAATCCTGTAGATCGGATTTACAAGGATAGTGGTAATTTCCCAAACTTAGGTAACCCTAATATAGACCCCAATATACTACTCCTTATTATAGGGACCCCCAGAAGGTACCCCTAATTTTGGGAAACCCCCAGTAAGCTCACACGGAACTCACCCTTGATTTAGGGTTTTAGGGTTTTAGGGTTCTAGGGGAGGGATCAGGGTCCTAGGGTTTTAGGGTTTTAGGGTTTTAGGGTGTAGGGTTTAGTGTTTAGTGTTTACGGATCGCTCAAGGGAAGATGTTAAGATTCATAGTTTCATGCAGGATTTTAAATCATTGCAAGCTTCCAGGAGTAAATGCTGTTGTCATTTTGGCATCCCTTCGGCTAAAAATCCGCCCCTAAATCCTAGACCCTAAGCCCGAAGTGCATGCAAGGGCCACGTCCGAAGATGGATGGCGCGCGATCAGAGTGCATCGGATGCAGGCGCAGATTTGCTTGGCAGACTTACCCTAAGCGCTAAACTGCCATGACACCACCTGGGTGGTTGTTAAAATTATGGTCCCTCTTTGGATCCCTATTATAATACGACACCTAATATTAGGGTACCCAAAAAGGGCCCATGATTTTCACAACCACCCACATCTTCAAACGGACAGTCGATGCTTTGAGAGCCCAAGGGCGGTTTTTGACTTGCTTCGGCAGGGAATATTCTTGAGCTCATGTTACGAATCCCCACCTCACCGCAAGCCCCCAACACTCACAAGCGTCCTGGGTTACCGTTAAGGAACTTAAAAGTTGCCATATGATGAGTATATAGTAAAAAATAGGGTGTCCTTATTATAGTAATTTAGTTTACGTTCCTCAGCAGCCCTAAGCGAGCGCCCCCAAAAATTCACCCCCAATCCCCCAAACCATAAACCTTCTAAACGCCATGCGACTCATCCCACCCCACCCCCCCTCCCCAGGCGAGAGAGTGGGCACCGTCACCACGCCTGCAGCATCCGTGGCCAGTGTTGAGCCAGAAGGCGCCAGAGGGATAAGGTTGTTGAGTTTAGGATTTTGGGCTTAGGGTTTGGGGTCAAGGGTTTAGGGTTGAGGGATTAGGGTTTGCAGTTTGCTGTGATATGGTGCAATGAGCGTGTTGTCAGGCAGCAAGGTATCTTTGAGCGAGTGCTTGTGCTGTGCGACATGCTGCTTTGGCCGATGGTGGCTGGCCATTTCAACCCGAACTTTTGCCGCCTAGGGCTCGCACACGCACACACGGCCTTACACCCTAAACGCTACACTCTAAACCCTAAACCCTTGTAGACATAACCCATGGAGAACGGGCTCCAAAAAAGCCTGAACCCTAAACCCTATCGAGGGGGAGCTATGGGTTTTTAGGACTTCCACCGTCTCATTGACTTCCTTGCAGTTGTAGCCGCGCCTCTACCCCGTGGCCGTGGTCCCCGTCCTCGTCGTATATCGCAGTATCTTTCGTCCAGCCCTTTGCTGTGTGTAGATAGACCCTTAATTACTCGGATGATGCTGATGGTGGTGATGATGATGCAACTTTCTTTGCAGGCCACTACCAGGCGTTTTGTCACATACGCCCGAACGGGGCTGATGAAGCACAAAGCTGGCTGATGGATGACAATGCCAAAGCCCAGCAGAACAAGGCATGCAGCTTCACCCTTAGCCGTAAAGCCTACACCCTAAACCCGAAACCGCACCGCATCGCACGACAGCTACTTGATGTGGGCTCAAACATTCACAAGTTGTCAGCGGCTCGCGGCACATTGCTGCAGTGCTACGTTTACGTGCTGAATCCAAAACTCTAGCACCTAAATTCAGTTGCCATTCCCGAAGTGGTTGATCCATGCTTTCTCTTGCAGGACCGCTAAGCCCGCTAAGCCTAGCCCCCACATCCCAAACCCCAAATTAAACCCAAAATCCTAAATTTAAATTTAAAGTCAACCCAAAGAGAAAATCGTAAATCCTAAGCCCCGAAGCTTAAATCCACAAGCCTAAAACCTAAACCCTAAACTCTAAGCCCTAAACCCTAATCCAGGACCAGCAACAGCTTCGGAGCCCGCGCCCTCGGTCCGCCAAGCACTTACAGTGCAAGGCTCCCAGCAGGGACGAGCCGCGCACTGAGTTGAATTCAGGGATACGGGTTTAGGGTTTAGGGGTCCGCATTTTAGGGTCTAGGGTTCAGGGTTTAGGGTTTAGGGGTCAGGGTTTTTAGGGTCTAGGGTTTAGGCTTTGCTGTGACGTTAGGTGGAACATGGAGGGACCAGCTGCAAAGTGATGTTGAGTGCATCGCGGATGGCGAGGTGCTGCAATGGCCTGACTGTGGAAGGCCATTCAACAAATTCACCAACCCACGAGGTATGAGGCGGCCAAGCCACCCAAACCTACGTAGTTTAGGGTTTGGGGTCTAAACTCAGTTTTTCCATCTAAGTCAACAACACAATTGTCATGTTCATCTTATGCTCTCCGCACACATTGGGAGTGGGAGTTTTGCTCAGCTTCAAATGAAGAATAAGGTCCCCATTAGTGAGCAACAGTCCACCTTGCCAACAACCCTGGCAATTAACCTAAACCCTAAGCCCTAAAAGTACTAGAAGAACAGAAGAGAGTGCGGGGCTTCAGGCTTTGTGGTTGTCTTAGAGATGAGAGGGAAGTCAGCAGCTAGGTAGGGTTTAGGGTTTGGGTAAAGCGGCCCTGCCCCTCAACCTCAACCCACACGGCATTCGAATTCGACACGAACAAGACAGACTTGCTGCCCAACAAAAACATCGGCGACAGCGAAAAACCATCAACCTCAACCCCCAAACCCTGGCCAATAAATGTTCCCCAAACCTTACTGGGGTAAGTAGGGAATAAGGAATATAAAATCCATATATAAATGCTATATATATATATAATACTCCCCTATTCCCTACTACCCCCCCCTTAAGAACATGCTCTTCAAAGATTATCCCTCTGCCCTTGCAAAAGTAGACGTGCTTTTGGAGCCACTCGAAGCTCAAGACGCAGTCACTGCTCAGATTGTCTCTTTCGCCATTTATTGGGATCCCACAGTTCTTAGGCTTAGGGTGTAGGGTTTTGCAGTTCAGCGTTGATTTTAGGGTTTTAGGGTTGTGCTTTAGAGGCGTGTTGTAATCCCATGCAGGTTCGGGGGGAAGTAGGTTCAGATTAGGTTGGCGTTGATCCCTGCCCCCTAATACGGCGGTTTAGGTTTGAAGGCCTCGTATGGCCTCGTCCCCCAATAATGCTGAATATTCTAGTTGTGGTAGACTGCCGTTCTATAATTATGTAGTATATTGGGCTTATTTGACATGAGGGTGGTGTGGGTTTGAGTATTAGGGGAGGGCATTATCCACATGAAGAATGACAGTAGCAGCCGTTGGACTGTGCGTATACCGTACCCCAACTTAGAATCCCCCTACCTGGACTTATGGAGGCAAAGGTAGCCAATAAGTCCCAATCCTAAGCCCGTAAAGCCCTAAACCCCCAAAACCCTAAACCCCTAAACCCTAGAACCCCTACCTACACCCTGAACTCGCCAAGGCCATGATTGCAGGCAGAAAGCAGATTGAGAACCGCAGCTGGCGAATTCCCGTTGGCTGGTCCTTCAGCTGCACTTTGTGACCTCTGTTCAGTTTACTTACTTAGCTGATAGAAGAACTATAAACTTTTTGGGCTGCCGTTTTGGGTCTCTATAATGAAGTTTAAACTTGTTTAACTTTGGCTATTGGGGAAGAGAGTGTTTAGAGTTTAGGGTTATAAGGGAAATGTAGTTCTGTAATAAGAGAAGTTTACTTAATCTACTTCCTCCAAGACCTAAATCAGGACCCTAGAGTAGGATAGTTGTAGGTTCCCATATTAGTGGTCAGCGTAAGTAAGATCACCTTTTCAGTCTGGGTTAACAGCGAATGAAGGAATGGAACCGCAGATCATATCACCCCCCAACCCTAACCCCTAACCCCTAAACCTTATCTGAGGATTTTTAGAGGTTACTGCAAGGATCCCTTTCTTCATTTGTTGCTAACTAGAGGTACATTTGGGGGCACCTGGGCGTAGGACCACGAATCCAGAGAACAGCTTCTTACATGACTTGCACCCCAAACCCTGAGTCTTCAACCCTACACCCTTGTGCAGAGCTTTTTTAGCAGATAGCGAATGAAAGGGGTGCATTCAAAAAGGATGAGCCCCCCCCAAACCCAAAAAAACACGAATCTTACACTCGAGGTCTTTGAGTTCAAAGCCTGGCGAACAGCAGCCCCCCCTTGCTTCAGAACTTCGCCCCTGAAAGAAAGCCATCCTGAGTGGAAGGGTTGATTGAGCATGGTAGTTCCCTGAAATAGGGAGACACTAGTAGAGGCCACCAAAAAGTGTAACCCTTATCATTCATTCGGGACCCATGGAAAAGTACCCCTCATGTTGGGACACTCCCATGTGGCAAAATATTAGACGCGTTTGGCTTGGATGCGTCTTCCCATACTCTAGCAAGGCAAGTAGAGGATCCTTGATGCAAGCACCTCATCTTGGCCTTATCCTCTGGAAGTCTACAGCCGGGCTTGTGCACCAAAAAGGGCTCACAGCAGCAGCAGCAGCAGCAGCAGCAGCAGCAGCAGCAGCAGCACCAGCAGCACCAACAGCAAGCTGCTAGGAACTACTAATGCCCCTGCTCCTGCTGCTGCTGCTACTGCTGCTGCTACTACTACTCCGGCTACAGCCGCCCAATGACAACTTGAACTGCCAGGTATGCCTTGCATGTGGGCTCCCGCCCCCTTGCGGCTCTTGGTGATGAGTGGGTGCAGAGGACGGCAGCTGCAATGGAACTTAGAGGCTTGAACCACAGCTTAGTGCCTAGCTCTACATCCTTGGCAACTTCTACGGGGTCTATCCACATAATGGAGCATCAGATGGAAAAGGAAGTTGAACATGACATGGAAACTGGTGCTTGTAGGGATGCGAAAGGGAATGGAAAAGCTGGAAGATAAGGGTATGTAACTTGCAAGAGTTGCTTGCCAGAGTTTCATTCCGCTGCTTTGGGCCCTTCTATTAGGGTCCAATTGTTTGAAAAGTATATGGGTGGCTATTGGGCGATGGTATATCTGCAATATGTCAGTCAGTAGGGTGGCTGTATATTCTGCCGTGACCACAGCAGCGTTGCTTGTTTTCTGCATGCTAGTCACATTTTTTCCAAAACTTAGGGATGCTTTTCGGGAGTCCCTGTCGAAAGGATGACACGATGTCGGCCACAACAATTCTTTCAGCAAAAACTACAACTCTGCGACCCCTCGAGATCATAAACTCCAACGGGGTTTAGGGATTAGGGTTCAGGGACTATGTTTTAGGGATTCGGGTTTAAGGATAAGGGTTTAGGGATTGAACTTCAGGATTTTGGGCTTTTCTTAATCAAAAAACAAAAGCAATCCTTGGAGATCCTTGACTGTCACCTGTTAAACTGGTGGTCTTTACATGTCCCAACCGGATCAAACAAAGTGCATCCATCGCCTTAAAAATGTTACCAAGGTTGTCTGATTTCGTGTGTTTTGATAAGTATTTTACGCCAGCCTTAAGACCTAAACCTTAACCCCTAAACCTTAAACCCCCTAAACCCTTAACCCCTAAACCCTAAACGCTCTAAACCCTGAACCCAAAGAATGCCAGGCTGAATACGGCATGGCCCGATGCGCCGCCCGAAGCGAGCCTCCCCTCTGCATGTATAGGCTGGGCTCACCCAGTCTACGGGGTTGCTGTTAAGGAACTTAAACTAAGTTGCTATAATAAGGAAGCCCTGTTATTTATGATATGCCCATATTTTGGGTCTTAGTTTACGTTCCTTAACAGCAACCCAGGGGTTTAGGGACGAATCGCATTAGAAAAATGAGTGCTATAGTCGCTCACATAGAGTGAGGCGGTATTGTCCATTTAGTTGTCCTAGCTTGAAAAGAAGAAAAGAGTTTTACAATGGGTCAACAACAGCAAAAACTGCTTAGATAGGGGTTTTCTCAAAGCAGGGGCCGCCGCATAACGGATCCATGGGATGGGAATGAAACCCGGTTTCAGAGGGTTTAGGGGTTTAGGGTTCAGAGTTGAAGGCAGGCAGAGAGGCAGAGGGGGAGCCCTCCTTCTGTTGACACTAAGCCTCAACCACTCAGCATTGCTCGTGCGAGCCTAACAAAAAAGTGTACAGTTTGACCCCAAAACGCGATTCCTCATACAGGGGCCTACAGGTTTAGGGTTTAGGATCAATTTGAGGTCTACTTGTCGTCCCCGTTGCTTAGGGTTGGTTTAGAGTGTGGGGGTTTAGGGTTTGAGGGTTTAGGACCAGATTAGGCAGTTATTGAGGGCCCTGTGTGTCATATTCTTTGGGTTTTGCATTGCCCCAGTTCATTCTGCCAAATGAAGGTGCAACTATGAGGGTTCAATTCTCGATAGACGATGAGCAGGGGCGTCCTAAGCCAATCGCCATCAAGGGCTTAGGGTTTACCTGGGAATAGGGTGCTGGTACCAATTCTTTACTCCGACAGAACTCTTGCCTGCGTCTCCCAAATACCCCAAAAAACAGCTTGAGAGCCTGAAGTGCTTTAATTGTGATTTGATAAGCTCTTCTCGTAGACATGGGAAGGGGATCTGATTTGCACCTGGTAGCGGGCAACCCGCTTTGAAAGTTCAGTCCTCAACCCCCTGCCGTTGAAGGTTTGGGCTTATGGGCCCAAAATCGTGGATCTGTCCCCGACCTTGACACCTATACAATTGCTGGTTCTTAGTAAGGAATAAGGGAATTAGCATTCCCCACTTAGAACCACTAAAATATGCTGTAAGCCCAGAACCCTTGGTGACTGCTAAGTAACATCAAATTTGTATTCTCAAAGCTCACACTTGAGTGCTTGATGATATCCGTAAGCCTTTGCAAGGAAGCCCTATTCCAAGCCCTAAACCCTAAACCTTAAGCCCCAAGAGTCTTCAATGCTGTTCGCAGTTGGCTTGATCCACATCTCTGAACACCGGTTTTTTGGCTGCAGGTTGGGAGTTCCTGGTCAGGGTTTGCAAGGGTTTAGGTTTCATGGGGTTTATAGGGTTTAATTATAGGGTTTGGGGTGTTTAGAGTTATGGTTTAGGGTGTTGCACATGACTGCAGGAACTGAGTATCAGGACTCAAACGCCACATGAAGAGCCCCAACACAGACCACCACCATCATAACCGCCGCCGCCCCCACCACCGCCACCACCGCCATCTCTCCCACGCAAATGGCCACCCCTGCCGCCGCCACGCCCCCAAAGGGTCACACTATTGGCATCCTCCAAGTCCTAGTACTGCCTCGTTCTCAAGCAAGAATGGCATCCCACTGAACAGGAACAGGGTTTTTTGCAGGACCCTTTTCGAGTTTCATGCCAGTCTGCGTCGAGATCCTATGCCCACAAAGGCATTGAAATTAGGCCATACTATGGATGTAGTCAATACCATGGCTGCTCCAGAATGGCAACCTAAGTTGAATTCCATAACAGCAAGCCAGGCCTAAACCATAAACCGTTTAGGGTTTAGGGTAAACCCTACACCCCAAATCCTGAGGCAGCCGCACCAATGCTGCGGTTCCCAGTCCGCATGGGCGGTCGGCCCCATTTGTCACGTCATTGATGAGGCCGCGAGCCTGAAATCGCACGCTCGCTGGTGCTTCAGGGGTGGGTTTAGGGTTTAGGGTTTAGGGTTTAGGGTTTAGGGTTTAGGGTGGTGAGGACGGAACCCTAAAGCCCCAAATCCCCTAAATCCTAGACCCTAAACCCTAGGTCTAGTACAAGCATAAAAGGTAAAATAGGGCACTCCCTCAGTCGCCTTGAGCATAGACACTGAACTTTTTCTCCAGATTGTGCAGGCCCTATGAACAGGGGACTCCAACTCTTGGAAACAGCCAAAATATCTTCGTAATCCCACCCAAAAGGCAAAGCAAATCGTATGAAGAGTGCCGGTACGAAATCTTCGCTACTGCCCCCACCCTGTAGCAGTTGGATAGCATTTCAACAATATAGCTCATCTTACTATGACCCATAATATATACTCTTACAGGGTGGGAGCAGTATACCCAAACGAAATCCGTTTGTGTGCCGTGCAGATCTTGGGAGCGCGCTGGCTGTTGGAGCCAGGGCATGCTTTCATTCCCTAGGGGTGATTTAACGGGAAAGAGGCAGCCTTGGCTTAGGGTTTCGAGTTTAGGGCTAAGGGTTTAGGGTTTAGGGCTTAGGGTTATAGAGTTTTAGGGCAAGAGGTTTTAAGGGGACCCAGGTAGCCGTGACTTAGGGTTTAAGGTCATGCAGGGATTCTTTGGGTCATACAGGGGCAATAGACTGGAGAATCAAATGGGAAAACGGAAGATTAAACGGAACCTGGTATTCTATGAGGATATGCATAGATAACCGAAAAGTAATCCATGTATATGTTTGTCGGGGTTCTCTCGGGCCCCTTAAAAGGGAGTGAGCCCAAGTCAAGCCTCTTCTTTGCAGCATCTGGCCCACTGGTAGAAGCAAGAGCGAGCTTTGGGAGAAGCAGGCGTATGTGAGATGGAGAATCTAACTAAGTAGTTGGCAGCGGTTTCTCCAGGACAGTAGCATGTTTTCCGTACAGCCTTCGAACCTACTCAAATATATTCGCTGGGATCCCTTATCTCCGCCCTCACACCAATTTGATCGCCATGGCGCTGGATGACTTTCAGCGGGCGCTCTTCGTCGCTATTTGTATTGTGGTGGAGTTGATTATTTTTACCAAGGGGCTGTTCCTGTGCTTCAAAAGGCCGCACATGATCAAGAGCTGCATCAAACGTGGGATCCGGGGTCTGCGATCCCTGCTGTTCAAGCGGGCGGAACACCTCGAAGACGCACAGCTTCAAAAGGAATCAGCCTACCTTCATAGGCCCTGGGCTATTTGACCCTAAATGGTGGTTTATATAGGGAATAGTACCAAAATGGCATTACATTGGGAATAATATGTATTCTAAATTGCCCTGAATAGGCGCGTCACCTACGTGATCACAGTCTATCTTGCCAGCATCGCTTGTCTTGGCGTACTGCTGGGCCAAGTGGCGGTAATGACGAACAATACTTACTGGCTCTCATTGCCGCAGTTGTGGACTGCCCTGACATCATTGGTGTTTGCGCTGGCTTGCATCATTTTCCCGGACACTTGCCACGCCTGCATGTCTGACGTCATCTACGTGGCGTTCAATGGGTTGGGAGTTGTGGGCTTGCTCCCTTCCCACTCAGCACCAGAGGATCTGTTCGTGAGCTGGGTTGTGAGCCTATGTCTTATCCGCTTGCCCTCAGTCCCTCTGGCGACGCGCGGCTTCACTGTGCTGGCCGTGAACTTCTCCTTCACCGTGCTGTGCTTCCTTCGACGAAGCTTCGAGGATTTCGATGTCATAGACAGTGCCTTGACCCATAAAACCCTGTATGAATGCTGTATAAGCCCAATAATTACAACCCTATAACCCGATATAAGCCCTATGTAAGCCCTATAATTATAACCATATAAACCCTAAACCCCTGAACCCTAAGAAACAACACCTGGGTAATGTTTGCTGGCCGCAGGAAGAACCTCCCTTCGTAAGTACAACGATTTTCCGCCACTCTTTTCTTTCGCTTGCGATTCAGGGCTTCGTATTTTGGGTTTAGGGTTTCGGGTGTAGGATTTAGGTTAGAGGGTTTAGTATTTAGGGTTTAGGGTTTCGGGTGTAGGATTTAGGGTAGAGGGTTCAGGGTTTAGGATTTGGGGTTTAGGCCTTAGCTTCGCTCAGGAGAGGTCAAATCTAAGTTTTACGTTTTGGGTGGAGGGGTTTAGGGTAGAAACATGAGGTTGAACAAATTTTCGTTTTGTGAGCTAGAGTCTAAACTCCTTAAAGGGGGTTATATAAGGATTATATAGGGGATTATTATCGAGGCTATCAAGGGGGATATTAGAAGTTTCGACTATAGCTCTTGCAATCTGTGCCTGTGGTGTTGTATGCGGTTAGCATACGTACGCCTTCAACCATGCTAAGCTCAACCCTGGGCCTAAAAGCCTTACCCTTAACTCTGACCCTGAGGTCTAGATCCAATAAAAATTGAATCTGAACCTCCCCTAAACCCTAAGCCTTAAACCGCAGATATGACGACCTCACCCACCTCATTCCGACTAGTCGTTAACAGAAGCAATGATCCCAGATTGGCTTAACTTGAGGCTCTGAACTTGCTTATGGATAATAAAGGGGCCTTAGTACCCCAACCATCTCATAGGGATTAGAGATCTATCGTATCACCTTAGTAGGGTCCCAATTGTAGGGGTTTGGGTTAGTAGAGTACTCTTTTTGATCGAATAGATCCAGAACCTTAAGCCTTAGACCCTAATCCCTCAAGCCTAAAACCCTAAACCCGAAACCTTAAACCAAGCCCAATCCCGAGGTGCTGGGCTTAGCAAGCCCGACCCCTCACTTCTTGTACGATTGGACCTCTACACGTCCCTGGCTGCTGTAGCCATGAGCGGATTCTTTAGAGCAGCAATGAGAGCCTTGGATGCCGGTTTAAGGTTTCGTTTTTGTAGGGTTTAGGGTTTAGGGGTTAGGGCTTTAGTTTTAGGGTTTAGGGTTTAGGGTGAGGGGCTTAAAGTAAAGCCCCATATCCTCAACCTAACCCTGAAACCAGCATG